TAAGCTCAGAAGTTGCTGTTTTATTTAGGCTGCAAACCTCAGACCACCATGCTTGAAAATTATCAGTGTAAGTACTCAACCCCTCCCAGGAAACTTGGGACAGCTTCCAAAATTTATGCCTTTTATTATTTACCCATAAATTGCTGTTTTATCTATTTATGCCTTTTATTATTTACCAAAATTTATTGTTCTTTTTTTAGTGAATGAATTTGTCCGTACCCGATACACAATTTCACATTTATTATTCATAGTTGTGGCAGGCCAGAAAATTTGTTTATTTTTTCCTCAAAGATGACTAAATTTAAACCGTACTCGTTTATAGGACTAATTAGAAATTCTATGAAGTCATCCATAACTTTATGTATTGACACGTTTTCAAAGTGTATTTATTACATAACACGTGTCAATACACAATTTGTGGATAACTGTGAATGGTTCCATAACAAAACCGTAGGACTAATACCCTTTTAGGATGTTAGTTGATTGGCGTAACATCAGCGCTTATTGAACCCCATTTAGCTTGTTTGGTCTTAGATAGTTTGAGGTGTGTTGGTTTTGTGAGAGGCTAGGTTCGTATATGTTAGTGGCCTCAGGCTGCTTGCTTTGTTTAGTTTATGAATATCGACTCTTCTCTCTTTGTTTGTTTAGGTCTAGCGTACTACAGGGTCAGAATCCCTCTATTTTCCTTTAGTATTGCGTTGTTTAGTGTGTCTAGGCCACCGCCAATTTGGTTCTCCCTTTGTGCATTTTCATTTGTAAGAACTAGTGAACTCTCTGAGTTGTACTCTTTATTTTATGTTACGAGATCTTTGATCGTTTGGAAAAAAAAGAAAAAAAAGAAAAGAACCTCATTTACTGATGATTAATCCTGTCACTCTAATTATATAATAGCTCAATATAACAACTGAATGGAAAGAATTCGCACCATATCTGCATATTTTAGTTTCTCAAAAATGTCACCTCAACAGTGTTAAAACTCTTGAGAGAGAGATTTGCCGCCTTGTGGTCCTACCCGGCTCGATTTCGGATTAGTCGGTTCCCCTGTGGATCCAAAAACCAAAAGGTCCCTATACCAAAAAAAAAAATGTCACCTCAACAAATTAATAGCATGACATACTAATAATTTGCCAATTAATAAAAAAATTAAAAACATTTTCCCGTTAACTTATCAAAATACAAAATGAATATATTTTGGAGAACTAAACCTAAAATAGGGATACGATAAAATATAGAAAAAGGGAATATTTTTGACGTCAAAGTAAACTCTTTAAACAGGAAAGTTGATGTAATTATGAAAGAGAAAAATTACTAAACAAAAAATACGAATAAAAAAAGGTAGAAAATAATATCAGTGTTTCAGAATTACGCAAACTAATTATTTAGTACATTTCGAAGAATTGACGAAAAAAAAAAAAAGAAAAGAAAATATAACTGTCACCAACTTTTCTGATTTGACGTTAGGGTAAGTGAGAGTAGAGTGGACGGTGTATTGAAGTAGCTAGTATTTATATATTGTGTGCGAATGATAAATCTTGTACTCCTTAAATTTACTTGCTCAAAATACCCTCTTAATTAATATCCGACNGAAAAGATGGACCAAGAAATGATGGACACCTTCACCTTCACCATCACCTCCTCGGCCTCCTCCTCATCCTCCTCCCCGAGCAGGCCTAGCCGGTACGAGAACCAGAAGCGGCGCGACTGGAACACCTTCTGCCAGTACCTCGGCGCTCACCGCCCCCCGCTCTCCGTAGCCCAGTGCCAGGGCTCCCACGTGGTCGACTTCCTTAGGTACCTCGACCAGTTCGGGAAGACGAAGGTCCACTTCCCCCACTGCCCCTTCTACGGCCACCCGAATCCCCCGGCACCTTGCCCCTGCCCACTACGCCAGGCCTGGGGCAGCCTCGACGCCCTCATCGGTCGACTCCGTGCCGCCTATGAGGAGAATGGCGGCGTCCTCACCGATGCTTCCAATCCCTTTGGGGCCCGCCTAGTCCGACTCTACCTGCGCGAGGTCCGGGACTCGCAGTCCCTCGCGAGAGGGGTCAGCTACGACAAGAAGAAACGCAAGAGGCCCACAGGCCATATGCATGGGGCTGGGCTTAATTAATTAATTAGGGCTTCTTCTATTCAGAAAGCTGTTAAGGTAATTAACCCTAATCAAGTAGGTTTCCAGACTCTTGTTTTCAATTGATCCATCATGTAATCTTATTATTACTGGTAACCCAATTTTAATAAAATAATTATCATTTGGATTTATGTTTGTTTTTTATTTTATTTTTTTTTTTCTATAACCCATTTATGATGTCTATTGATCCGCAATTCCACGATTTTTGTCTGTAACTGGATTTCCATGAAAATTGATTATATTTTCCCCTTTTAAAAAGAAAGATCAATAATATTCTCACTTCCCTTGCTCGTGGATTCGAACCCATGAACTAGGGGTAACAGTTGCAGCGTCTTACCATTTTCATGAAAATTGAGCAATATTTAGGGATTTAACAATCGCCTATCCTCATAACAATAAGGTTGTTTGAGTTTATAAATATTGGATTTCGAGGTTCGATTAATTCCATTCGTTCCATAATTTGAGCTTCTTAGGAAAGATATATTTTAGATATATCTTAGATGGATTAATTCATTTGGATTCAACTAGATTTGTCAGATTATTAATTATCTCAATAAATCCAAATCCTTAAACCCACAAATTTTGAAGGTTTTACAATGAAGAGTCATGCTTGTTAGAATATCACTTGTGAGTTGTCCCACATTGTTAATACGTTTAATAGGCTACTCCTCCTTACACCAATTGGTTTTGGGATGGAACCCCATTGGGCTTCATATGGGCTTTCCTTTTCCCCACTTTCTTACAATGCTAGCTACTCATATACTTGGTATAAAGGCAAATGTCTTTGCAAGAATCACATGAACATTTATATTTCCAATTATAAAAATGTGACTAACTCTCACTCACTACCATAGAAACCTACACTTCACCACAGCAAAACTTGATCCGATTTATGTTTCCTTGTCTCAAAAATAGCGAAAACTGGCAGTTCGTCAATTAAAATCTTATCTTAATAGTAGAGTATATATGTACGATAAATTGTAAGAAACGTGAGAATCATGATTCTTCTATGTAGCCTAGTATATATATATTTTTGATAACTTTAAAAATATGTATCGCTCTAATCCACTCATGCGGATTAGAGCTATATTTAGGCCGATTCGCTATCCGATCTCACACATTTTCCGCAAGGGAAACTGGTCTGCGGATTTCCTTGCTTCATCGGGATTTCCTCCCCCATAGACGTATTTTTCAGAATGACGATATTCCTCTACCTCTTCGTACCCTTATCCGGATGAACCAGATGAGATACTTATCGTTCAAATTTGCGTAGTCGCCCCTACCTTTTGGTGCTTCGTCTTCCTCGTGATGCTGACTCTTCGTCTGGACTTCTTTCAGATTTTTTGGCGTTAATATTATTGTCTCTTTCTTTTTCTTGTTTTTTTTTTATCGTTTATTTGGACTGTTGTTTTGTAAACACTAGTAGATTGTAGACTTGTGACTTTTCAACCCATTAGAGTCTTTTTTATATATATAGGTTGGGGGTTCGACTTTAACCCCCACCCTCCCCGGTGTTGTTCTTTTTTTTTAAAAAAAACAAAAATAAAACTTTAAATCTAAAAATTTCTATAATTTTGATTTTACAAGACTAAGTTCTTTGTTTCTTATTTATTTATTAACTAAATCTTCCTACTTGAATTTTGTACATCGTTCATCATCTAGAAACCAGTGTCGTGTACCAAACTAGAACCCGGAGCGGAACCCGCTTGCTTAAGATTCCGATTTTACAGATATTTCTCCATGTTGTGGAGTTGGAAAACGTCCAAAATGGTGCTCAAATAATCAGATTTACCTTTAGACCACCTCTGCCCTTTTCCTATTGTGGGGCTATCGCATAAATTTTCTACAATGAGATGTGTTTATGTGAGTAAATAACATTTTTTCATCTCTTAAATGTGATATTGCATTTCAGTCTGGTAAATGTAGTCGCAGTTTAAGTTATTAAAATTTGGTTACTAAAAAATTTTGTAACATGAGTCCCGTAATATTTTGAATTTGCAATGTTGGTCTGATAATCAGTTAAACTGGCTAGGGTACACCGGTCTTTTAAACAGAAAAAAAAAGTAAATAAATTAATAAAAGTGTTAGAGAGCATTCAAATTTCATCGAGTGTGCACCTATTTGATGCAAAATTTTGCAGGTGCTCCTCACCATCACTATTAACACAAACAAGAGTGTTGGAATTACGCGTGCAAACGAACCGAGCGGTTCACGGGCCGCTCGCGAGCGCTCGAGTCAAGATCGAACTCGAGTCGAGCTCCAGTGGCTCGAGCACGAACTCGAGTCAAGATCGAGCCCATATTTTATCTTGTCGAGCGACTCGAGATACATGTTAAATTACTAAAATACTCCTTATATAAAAGTTAGAATAGGTCCTTAATGGTAATTTTACCTTTCCACTTAAAAATTTTCGAGCCAGCTCGAGCATTTTGATTTCGAGTCGAACTCGATATGAGCTTGAAGTATTATAATTTTTTATCGAGTCGAATTCGAGCCTAAAAAATAGAGCTCGAGCAGCTAAAAAAAAATAAAAAAATCAATCATGCTCGATAAGGCCAATGTTTGACTGGGCACGACACATTTACAGCCCTAGTTGGAATATCACTTGTGAGATGTTCCAAATTGATTCAACAGGGTAATGAACCAAGATTATAAGTCTAGTGGGCTACTCTTCTCATCACCAATTAGTTTTGGGATGGAACGTCACTAAGAGCACCCACAATGCTTTGGTTCTAATTTTACATATGTGGCATATAAATAGACTTAAGTCCTAAATGACATGGATACTAGGTCTAGCATACATGACAACCAATACAAATACTCTAATATATATATTTAATTTATTAAAAGAAAAATTAAATGATGAATAAATGATGAGTGTTTGGGTTTGTACTTGGGTCTAAAATAGACCCAAGTGTGGACTAGGTCTCTTTTTTTTATTGCCACATAAGCTAGAATAGGTCCTCTTTTAATTGCATTGAGAAACACTTTTTTATAGACTAGGTCTATTTCCTACATGGCATGTAATTTTTTCCTAAGAGACCCAAAGCATTGTGGGTGCCCTAACGTGCACCGAGGCTCACCCTATTATGATGCCATTCACCTAGTGGGACCGCAACCGCTTCCTCCAATTTTAATATGGTATCAGCGGGCGTGTCCTAGGACCTGCAATGAATTTCTCTACTCGGCCTACATACTATGGGCTTGGACTTACTTTATCCGACCTACTTTGTGGGCTTGGGCTTACGAAGGACTCACAAGTGGGACGACAATATCAGTTGTGAGCTGTCCCACATTGATTTTACAGGATAAATGAGTCTACTTTATAAACTTAGCGGACTACTCCTCCCATGACCAATTGGTTGTGGGATGAAATCGCACTAAGGTATACTTACGCTTATTCTCTTATGTTGCGCTTCACATGGTGAGACCGCACCCACTCTTTTTCTAGTAAAACATATCATGCTTGCGCAAGTCTCTACTCATATCTCATTATTAATTTGTACAAGTACGCCACCCGCGCGTTGCGCGGCCTGATATTAAAACATGACGTGAAATGAATTATTATTTAAATAAATAAATAATATTAAGAAAAATATGTAGAGAGATAATAAAAAGTAAAATGAAAATTTTATTCATTATATTTTAAACTGTTTTCCTAAATATAACATTATTAGTGGATGAGCTGTATTCATTACTAGTACAACACCCGTGTATTACACGGGTGCTTGCTAATTTTTATCTTAAAATTTAAAATTAATGAGAAAAAATAGTTTGAAAATTTAAATACCTTTTATAAGAATATATATATATATATATATATATATATATATATTATATATTTATTATGATACTTTTTATTTGTGCGACTTATTTGTGTTATATTATACTAATCTTTTAACTTACAATATATTACTATATTAAATATAAATATATCAATTGAGAAATAATTCTTTTTTTCTAATGAATTTTAATAAATATTATTATTTTTTATTATTATAAAAATAAATATAATTTATTTATTTTATATATACAATATGGATGTCAAATCGAAGATCATCAAAAGATGATTAATTTGATATATTATATATGTAAAACTGATAAGAAATACAAAAGTTGCCTACTTTTAAAATACATTTATAATTCAATAGCTTATTGAAGGAAGAAAATCAAAATTTAGGGATATATTAGTCACTTAGTGCCTCATTATGTAAAATTACAAATAATTAAAGGGTTATATTAGTAAAAGTGATATCAAAATACCTAAGTTAGCTAAATAATATTTATGGAATACCCGAACCTAGATTATTAATTATTAATATATTAATATTATTTGTCCAAACCTAATTACGAATCATGATTTTTCGCCAAATAGGATTCCGAAGCACCAGAAACAGCCACGTAGGCTCAGCGCATTCGGGAATTATATATAGGGAGGATTACCATTATCATCATCAAATAATAATCATCAAAAAATAGAGGTGTGTGACTATAAAAACAATAACATATAATGGATGTGATTATAAAATACAATATGTTTGTAATAAATAGTTTCAAAATAAATTCAACTTAAAGAAACATTTGTGATCAATGTATTTGTCACATTGATAACACTCCTTGAAATTTTTGCCTAAAATATTTTGATAATGACATAATTTTTTTCATTAATAACTAAAGATAATATTAATACTATATAAAATAATTGAAATAAACATGTACAAAATATGAGTCAATTAAAATAAAAAATATAAATTAAATACTTAAGAAAAAAAATACAAAAATGACTCAATTTTGAACCGCGCATGCGTTTACCTTAAAATTAGGTCCACATATCTTTCACTTTTTATAATTTTCTAAATAAATATTAACTTCGTTTATTTGCAACATAAGTACGATGGTGCTCAGAATGACGTGCAAGATCGATCACCTTATGTAAAGTTACAAATATGCACAATAATCGTTAATGCTCATGTCAATAACAA